CGTTTACTGAACCGCGTGCCTTTTTTATTTTTTCAGAACCACGCGCTTTGACTTTGTCTACAGAACCACGTGCTTCCTCGATTCGCTGGGCCGCGTGCTTTTCGTTTACAGGACCACGTGCTGCTTAGCATCGCTGCCCAGACCACGTGCTCCAGTCTCTTTTAGAGGACTTCGTGTTCCGCGGCATCGCTCGTCCTTTGGACCGCGTGCCTGTACTTCGCAGCGCTACCTACTTCCTAGCCTCGCTTGCCTCGAGGACCGCGTGCGTCCAGTACAACGTGTGCGCCTGACCGTTAGTGACTCCGCGTGTGCAGACAATTCCACGTGTGGGCAACTTTTGTTTGTGAATTGTGTGTGAAGTGATGGTGGCCTAAAATGATTAGTTCCAGCCGACCAGACCATTTAAGTAGTCAGTCCTCCTTTGGGTTAACGGTAAAGGCTCTGTAGAACTGTCTGCCCCCCATTTCGAGCGCTTGCATTTGCCCTTCTCGACTGGCCCCGCCTAAGGCCATCAGCCACGACAATCGCTCAATTAAGGCTTAATTTGAAACTCAACTCATCCTCTTAATCCTAATTAACTCTGTTAATTAATTAATCCTAAACCTTTTGTAAATTGAGGTAAAAATTTACTGGCATCCCTGGACTTAAGGCCCTCAGCCTGTCGCTAACTAAACTGCTTAGCTCCGTTGCTGAATTTGTTTAGTAAACTTTGTGTCAATTCTTGTTTAATTGGCACTCTGCCCTACCAAGTGGTATTGCTTTTGCACTTCTCAATCATCAACAATCTCCGCTCTGGGATTGCTTTTTCAGGATCACCGCTCCCCTCAGTACCCTGTTCCCCCTTCCCACAAGTTGCCAATGATGACGATAACCGCCTAAGGCTTGTTATCGTGAGCCCGGTCAGTGGGACATCCTGTGCGGGTAACTGAGGTAACTTTTTCCTCCTATTCCATCCCCTCGAGCAAGATTGTTGTGATCACGAGAAGGAGACATCGCGCCTCCATTCCAATTACTCATTGGGTCAGGCAAGGGCAGTTGTCCTCCCCGTGTAGCCACTTTCAGAGGTATTATTGTGTGTTTTGTATATTGTATACTTCTTCGTATATCGTACATTTTGTAGACCGCATTCCTTGTTCGTATAGTGTACGGGAGTCAGTACTAAAGGCACAGACCTAAGGAGTCCCTCTGGCCAATTTTTTTTTTTTTTTTTTTT